CGTCTGCCCCTCTGGCCCCTATCCTCCACTTCTACTAGCTAGACGACCCAACCGGGGTCACATAGGAGGGGGGGGTTGGACCCCCTCCTGCGGTTCATGCCTGAGGCATTTTTATCGCGAGAAGGGTACAGCAATCCCTTCCCTCGCAACTTACGAAGTCGATTGGTCATGGTTTACCAACAAACAAACGAGCTTTGCAGCGCGTCGCTTTCATCCTAGACCAGGAAATATTTAGTGAGAAAAAAACTCTCCTTGTCGGGACTCGAACCCATGACCTAATCCTTAGCAGGCTGCGAGGCTACCCACTAGACCACCGGGGCGACGGTATACATAAACACATGGCAATGTATGCGTGCCCAAAAAACTGAACTGCACGTCCGTGCCGTAGAGGCGGGTATTAAAAGCCACCCGGGTGGTAAAGGCCATTTTTTTTTACTCAGGGGTATCTTCCATCGAATTTACGGAGCCCCTTGATCTATTTTTTGAGGTGCTCCGCGCAACCGGAGCTCTCGTTTGAGCACCACAGCGTCGCACGCCAAGCATTCTACCCCGAGATATAGCCGAGGGAGCCACCACAGCTCCCGCTACTAGCCACCTTCGTCGTTTCCTTGGGATTTTTGCTAAGCATCACCCGGCTCAAGGTGGACGAGGAGCAGGTTCGGAAGGCCTGTGCAGCGATAGATGGCATGTCGGTTAGGAAGGCTGCTGAGGTCTTTGGGGTAGGCCGTACGTCCATCGAAGACCGCTGCCCTGGCAAGGTGGCCATGAACGCGAAGGTTGGTCCCGAGACCATCCTGAGCAAAGAAGAGGACAGTTTGCTAAAAGATATTCTGCTGTTTGCTGCTCGCAACTTCTTGGCTGTGGATCGGCTTCACCTCGGAGATGCGGTGCGACAACTCTGCGACGACGGTCGGCGGATCCCTTGGGATCCAGAGAAGGTTCCGGGGAAAGATTGGCTTGCGGGCTTCCTTCGTCGGCACCCACGGGTGGCGGAGCGCTCGACCCGCATCTACGAAGCAAACAGGATCACCGAGGACGAGGAGCCTCACATGGTGCAGTTCTACGAGAGATGGGCAGCTCTCTCGACGAGGTCAAACCGGAGGCCAACCACGTGCACAATACGGACGAGACAGGTGAAGATTCGCTCGTAGACTAGTCTATAACAGTGCAGACTAGACTACAGCAGTAGTAGACGTGTGGCAGCAGTAGAAACTGCGCCGGTGACTGCTGTGCAAAGACCACGAAACATGTCACACGAAAAATATCAGGCAGAGTTCTGCCCATTTGCGGCGTAATTTCGGCCTCCTCATGTGTACGGCTGCAGTGTAGTCTAGACTACAGAGGCCGTGCTCCATCGTTCCTGCTCAAAAATGCCGAAATTGCCGCTGGCTCTGGTCTTGAAAGTAGGCTACACCAGTAGTTTCAGACATAAAAGTAGAGTACAGCACTGGTTCCAGACAATGTACTGCTGTAGACTATGGTAGTCTAGAATTCAATATTTTCATAGCTGCATCGCATCGTCTTCAGCTGGTAGTTCGAGGGAACCTGCGGCGACGAACGTGTAACTAATTTTTAGTAGATGCATGTGCCAACACATGAAAAAACTAGACTAGAATAGACTAGTCTACACGGCACAGCATCCTGCTTTTGCTCTCCCGATTGCCTCGTTCAGCTTCCGCCAAAATGACGGTAGGCTGCGCTAGGTTGAAAGCCCTCGCCGCACGAAAATAAATGTAAAAGAGCCACCGCGTGTCCCCCGTCCACCCCCGTCCACCCCCGTTGCTTGGGGCGCACGATTTTGACTGCAAATGTTTGTGTGCGTGCGTATACTGCTGCTGGTAATTTAGACTATCCATTAGACTAGCCTAACGCCCCCCCCCCCCCCCCCCCCCCCNCCACCCCGCAAGGAACCAAGACGACGAAGGCGTTTGCGGAATCAGGTCAGAAGGTGGTTGGTTCGATGCGCTCCAACTCGCGAGAGAACACCACCGTGGTCGCTACCATCAGCGCTGATGGTCACACCTGGGCACCAACCATTATCTTTAAAGGGCAACGACTTCAGGCCGATTGGTTTGTAGAGCGAAACGGCCCGGAGGGTGCGAGGTACACCTGTACGGATTCTTTCTTCACGCAGGAGAACGTATTCATCGCCTACTTGAAGGATTTCCACAAGCAGCTCGGCGACCGAGGGTTGCTCGACGGAAAACCCCACATACTCTTGCTCGATGGACATGCATCACACGTGAGCGTGGAGGTCATCAGGCTGGCCATGAATCTCAAAATCATCTTGTTCCAGCTACCCTCTCACACGTCGCACATCACCCAGCCCTTGGATGTCGTCGCCTTCGGACGCTTTAAGAAATCGGTCACCAGAGTTTTGTCGTCCTTCTACCACAACTCCGGCGGGTTGTTGCCGCTGGAACGCGACATGCCCGGCGTGATCGCGGATGCTTGGAAATTGAGCTTTACANCATCAGGCTGGCCATGAATCTCAAAATCATCTTGTTCCAGCTACCCTCTCACACGTCGCACATCACCCAGCCCTTGGATGTCGTCGCCTTCGGACGCTTTAAGAAATCGGTCACCAGAGTTTTGTCGTCCTTCTACCACAACTCCGGCGGGTTGTTGCCGCTGGAACGCGACATGCCCGGCGTGATCGCGGATGCTTGGAAATTGAGCTTTACACCGGAGATAAATCAATCATCATTCGCTGGGGCGGGCTTGTGGCCTGTGAACAAGGAGCAGGCGCTGGGTCGGCTGAAGGGCACAGCGAAGAAGAAGGAGCGGCGAGACGAGCGCCCACCCCTACAGGATGTCCCCATCACCGCCCTCAACGAGCAGCTGGAAAAGACATCGGAGAAAGGGCCCTCAGGGTGCTGAGGGGGCAAGGCACACCGTCACGGGAATCCGAGTAGGCACGGTGTTACTCGGTGGCCTCTTGACTCAAAGGAAGCGCGCGAAGAAGATGGCGACCTCGCGGGGCTCGCTTGGCCTTCCCGACGGAGGCAACATTACCGCGCCTGAGTTCCTGGACGCTGTTGCCGAAAAAGAACGCGCAGACAAGGCGGAGAGCGACGCGAAGGCTGCGAGGGCGAAAGTCCGCGAAGTGAAGAGGGCAGAAAAAGCGGCCGCGGAGCTGTTGCGGCAGGCGCTCATGGCCGATAGAGGAAGGGGACGGGGGCGGGTTGGAGGGAGGGGAGAGGAAAGGGAGGGCGTGGCGAAGTCGATATGCACCCTGTAGAACGTCGCATGTGGTTCGTAGGCTATGCGGCGGTGATTTTAGGGCTTGCCAGCACCGGGGGGGCAGGATGCACAGGTTTTGAACACCCGGGATGTCATCGTTTTGTCCCCGGGTGACCTGTGTGTGTGTGTGTGTGTGTGTGTGTGTGTGTGTGTTTTTGCGATAGATGTTTTTCACATGCTTACAGGTTCCCTCAGGAGCGCTGGTCGCGGGGGTGCAAAGGTGTTTTGAAACTACAGTTGTTTTCGGCGTTAGTTCTTACCGTAGCGGCAAGCCAAAAATCAGAAAAAAATATCCTTATTTGACCTTTGATATATCATTAGGTGTGCTCCAATGGGCGTGGACTTGTGCGTACAGTCGAAACATACCCTGTAGAACGTCGTGTGGTTCGTACCCTATTTGATGGTGACGTTCGTGCGTTCCAGTACCGGGGGGGGGGAGGGATGCACGGGTTCAGACCGAAAACCCGGGGACGCGGTGGTTCTGTCCCGGGGTGGCTTTTTTTTTTGTTCTGAACATGTTTCTCGCTCATGTTTCTCACTCATGTTTAAAGATCCCCTCCAAAGGTTGTGTCGTGGGGATGAATGAGTATTCCTCAATGGTGGATACAGTTTGGCGGTGTTCGGCGTGAATTCTTACCGATAGCGGCATGCTACATCAGGAAAAAGTACCCATATTTGACCAAGCACCATTTTGCGTAGACAACTCATTTCGCTGTGACTTTTTTTTCTCGCGTCGTCTACTGACTGGACTAATATGTATCAAATTGGTTGTTCTACCTCGTTTCGAACGCACAGAGCACGCAATACAGGTCACGGAGGGAAAAACCAGTCCCTACCCATGGTGTCGAAAACCCGGGGATACGTCATTTTCATCCCCGGATGTGGATCATTTTTGTTTTTTCTTACTTTTTCTTCATTCCTATTGTATTTTACGCATGCCCACCATATCTTGGGTCTTGAAACGCTTTCAAACGTACGAAATNAGTCCCTACCCATGGTGTCGAAAACCCGGGGATACGTCATTTTCATCCCCGGATGTGGATCATTTTTGTTTTTTCTTACTTTTTCTTCATTCCTATTGTATTTTACGCATGCCCACCATATCTTGGGTCTTGAAACGCTTTCAAACGTACGAAATAAACCAATGATGAAAGTGGCCTTTCATACCCCTAGGGGTAGTTTTCTCTCAAAATGACACCTGCAGCTCAGGTGTACGGCTCCAGCCCTACCTCGTCACTGTTGATGTTTTTTTTTTTTAGGTAGGCGGGGGGGGGGGGGGGGG